TATATTTCTTTTAGAAATTAACTCCTTATATGACATCGCTTGTAAATATTTTCTTCCAGTCCATGGGTTGCTTTTCACTCTGTTTTTGCTTTGCTGTCAAAAGCATTATTTGCTTTTAATTTGATGCAGTCTCACTGGTCTGTATTTGCTTTTGTTGCCTGTGCTTTATACACATAGTGGTGTATCTATGCTGTAAAGCTTTTCCTCTGATTTCTAGGAGTTTTAGAGTTTCAGAACTTACATTTAAGTTTTAAATCCATGGGGGTTGATTATTGTGTATGGTGTAATACATAGGTCCAATTTCATTCCTATGTATGTGAATATCCAGTTTTCCTAACACAATTTGTTAGGACTATCCCTTCTCCATTGTGTATTCTTGCCATCCTTGTTGAAGATGAACTGATCTTATATGTGTGGATTTAGTTCTGGGCTCACTGTTCTAATCCATTGGTCTATACAGTCTGTCTATATGTCTGTCTTTTTACCAGACCATACTGTTTTAATTACTAAGGCTTTGAAATGTATTTTGAAATCAGGAAATGTAATGCCTCCGGTTTTGTTCTTTCCCAAGATTGTTTTGGTTATTTGGAGACTGTTTCCATGTGAGTTTTAGAATTATATTGTAAAAAAGTAGTCCAGTTTCATTCTTTAGTATGTGGCAGTCCAGTTTTCCCAACACCATTCATTGAAGAGACTGTCCTTTACCCACTGTATATTCTTGGCTCCTTTGTTGTAAATTAATTGACCATCTATGTATAGGTTTACTTCTGGGCTTTCTATTCTGTTCCTTCGATCTATATGTCTCTTTTTATGCCAATACCTTGTACAGTTTGATTACATAGATTTGTAATATAGTTTGAAGTCAGGAAGTGTGATGCCTTTGTTTTTCTTAAGATTGTTTGACTATTTGGGGTCTTTTGTTTCCATACAAATTTTAGGATCATTTGTTCTATTTCTGTGAAAAATACCATTGGAATTTTGTTAGGAATTGCATTGGATCTGTAGATTGCTTTGGGTAGTATAGAAATTTTAACAATATTAATTCTTCTAGTCCAAGAACATGGAATATCATTCCATTTATTTGCATCTTTTTCATTTTCTTTCATTAATGTCTTACAGTTTTCAGTATATAGGTCTATCACTTCCTTGGTTAAATTTATTCCTAGGTATTTTATCCTTTTTGATAACACTGTAATTGGGATTGTTTTCTTAATTTTTCTGATAATTTGTTATTAATGTATAGAAATGCAAGTGAGTTTTGTATACTTTTGTATATTTTGTGACCTGCAACTCTACTGAATTTATTAGTTCTAAAAGTTTTTTTTTGCTGAACTCTTTAGGGTTTTCTATATATACTCTCATGTTATCTGCAAATAGTGATAGTTTTATTTCTTCTTTTCCAATCAAATGTCTTTTATTTCTTTTTCTTTCCTAATTGCTTTGGCTGGGACTTCCAATATTATTATATTGAATAAAAGTGGTGAGTGTGGGCATCCTTGTCCCTGATCTTAAAGGAAAAGTTTCCAGCTTTTCACCATTTAGTATGATGTTAGCTGTGGGCTTTATTATGTTGAGGTACATTTCTTCCCTACCTGCTTTGTTGACAGTTTTATCATTAATGGATGTTGACTTTGTCAAAGTGCTGTTCCCGCATCATTGAGATGATCATATGATTTTTGTCCTTAATTTTGTTAATGTGGTGTATTACATTGATTTGTGGATGTTTAATGATCCTTGCATGCCTGGAATAAATCCCACTTGGTCATGGTGTATAACCCTTTTAATATATTGTTGAATTCAGTTTGCTAATACTTTGTTAAAGATTATTATACCTATGTATCTGGTTTTAGTCATGGTAATGCTGGCCTCATAAAATGAGTTCGGAAGAATTTGAGAAGGATTAGTATTAATTTTTCCTGAAATGTTTGGTGGAATTCACTAGTGAAGCCATCTAGTCTTGGACTTTTGTTTGTTGGGAGGTTTTTGATTACTGATTCAATTACCTTACAAGTAATCAGTCTGTTTAGATTCTTCTATTTCCTTATGATTCAATATTGGTAGGTTATATGTTTCTAGGTATTCATCATTTCTTCTAGGTTGTCCTTTTTTTTGGTGTATAATTGTTCACACTAGTCTCTTATAATTCTTTGTATTCCTATGGTATCAGCTGTAATGCCTCCTTTTTTATTCTGATTTTATTTGAGTCCTCTCTTTTTTTTCGTGTGTGTGTGTGTGTGTGTGTATAGCTAAAGGTTTTATCTTTTGAAAAAACCCAGCTCTTAGTCTCATTGATCTTTTCTGTTGTTTTTAGTCTCTATTTCATTTATTTTCACTCTGATTTTTGTTATTTCCTTCATTCTACTACCTTAGGGCTTCATTTGGTATACTGTATGTCCATTTTCTTTGTCTCAAGATATATTTTTAATTTAATGTACATTCTTCTCAAGTGCATATATACACTCAAAATAGATCATATGCTGGTCTTAAGGTCTTAAAATGTCTTAAGACACTAAGAAGGATTGAAACCATACAGAATATGTTCTTTGGCCACAATGGAATTCAATTTGAAATCATTAAAATATCTAAGGAAACTCCCAGTATTGGAAAATAAATACTACACACAGGAAATTAGAATATATATAGAAATGAACAATAATGAAAATGTAGCATATAAAAATGTATGTTATGTAGCTAAGATAGTATTTAGAGGGAAATCTATAGTTTAAATGTTTATATTACAAAAGAAGAAAAGTATAAAGTCAACAAACTAAGGTTGTACTGCAAGATTCTAGAAAAAGAAAAGCAAAATAAACCCACAGTTACTGGAAGGAAAGAAAATAAGAAGGATAAAAACAGAAGTTAATGAATTAGAAAACTGACAAATAACAGAGAAAATCAATGGAGCCAAAGCAAAGTTGGAAATATCAGCAAGCTTGATAAACTCTTAGCAAAAATGACCAAGAAAAAATAAAGAAGAAAAACACAAATATCAGAAATAACAGAGGGGGGCACCTGGGTGGCTCAGTTGGTTAAGCAACTGCCTTCGGCTCAGGTCATGATCCTGGAGTCCTGGGATTGAGACCCGCGTTGGGCTCCCTGCTGAGCAGGGAGTATGCTTCTCCCTCTGACCCTCCCCCCTCTTGTGCTCTCTCTCTCATTCTCTCTCGAATAAATAAATAAAATCTTTAAATAAAAAAGGGAGAAGCAGGCTTCCCTCGGAGCAGGGAGCCCAATGTGGGGCTCGATCCCAGGACCCCGGGACCATGACCTGAGCCGAAGGCAGATGCTTAGCGACTGAGCCACCCAGGTGCTCAAAATAAATAAAATCTTTAAAAAAGGGCGCCTGGGTGGCTCAGTTGGTTGGGCGGCTGCCTTCGGCTCAGGTCATGATCCTGGAGTCCCTGGATCGAGTCCCGCATCGGGCTCCCTGCTAGGCGGGGAGTCTGCTTCTCCTTCTGACCCTCCCCCCCTCATGCTCTCTCTATCTCATTCTCTCTCTCAATAAATAAAATCTTAAAAAAAAAAACTTTAAAAAAAAAAGAAATTACAGAGGGTTTCTAATTACAGATCCTATACAAATTAAGTAATAAAGAATACATGAGTAAATAATAATTAAAGAAAATATTATGAACCCTTTCATACAAGCTAGATGAAATGGATACATTCCTTGAAAGACAGCAACTAGCAAAGATTACTCAAAAAAAAAATGTAATATGAATGGCTGTATATCTACCATAGAAATTGAATTTATAGTAAAAGTATTGCCCTAACAGTTATAAGTATTGCCCTAACAAACATGGCCCTAATGATTTTATGGATAAGTTCTATCAAGAAATAACACCAATACTACACAAAATCTTTTAGAATTAGCTCCCAACTCACTGCAGGAACCCAACATTAACCCTGCTACTAAAACCAGGAAAAAGGCATTATTAGAAAACTATAGATTTCCCTCATGAACACTAGTGTAAAAATCCTTTTCAAGTACTAACAAATAGAGTCCAGTAATATTTATAAAATACATAGTGCAGCATAATCCAGAGTTTATCCCATGAATACAAGTTGGATTAACATTTGAATATCAATTAATGTAATTCAACACATTAACAGATTAAGAAAGCAAAATGATAAGATCACTTGAATAAAGGTATAACATACTTAGACGAAATCAAAACAGAGTCCTCATAAAAATTCTTACCAAGTTAAGAGTAGAGAGGAACTTTCTCTCCAATAAAGGGCACTCAAAATACATAAATAACGTATTCAATAGTGAAATATTGAAGGCTTTCTCATTTAAATCAGAAACAATGGTAGTGATTGATACATTTATAATCTTGATTATGGTAATGGTTTCACAAATATACACATACATCAAGATCTGTCAAGGGGCTCCTTGTTGGCTCAGTTGATTGGGCATCTGACTGGATTTCTGCTTAGGTCATGATCTCAGGGTCCTGAGATTGACCCCTCTGGCTCTGTATTGGGCATGGAGCCTGCTTAAGATTCTCTCTCTCCCTCTCCCTCTGCCCCACCCCCACAAAATTTGTCAAAATGTATCTTGGGCCTTTGAGGGAAACTTTTCATATAGTATCTCAAAGGAAAGACACCACTACTCTGACTAGCTCCCAACACGCTCACCTGGACACCATCCTGCTTTTCACCCATCCGAGGTTCTCTCCCTTGTTCCAAAAGGGAAATCACTGCTGGCTTTGAAATAGCAAGTCCTGCTCAAAGATATGGGATATTAAAAATGAATATAGTAGGGGCGTCTGGGTGGCTCAGTCATTAAGCGTCTGCCTTCGGCTCAGGTCATGATCCCACGGTCCTGGGATCGAGCCCCGCATCCGGCTCTGCTCTGCAGGAAGCCTGCTTCTCCCTCTCCCCCTGCTCGTGTTCCCTCTCTCGCTGTGTCTCTCTCTGTCAAATAAATAAAATCTTTAAAAAAAAATGAATATAGTGTCAACTATACTTAAACTACAATGAATGAATGAATGAATGAATTTTTTTTTTTTTAACCATGCAACATTGTCTTTTATTATGTATGGGTTTTAAAAATTATTTCCTCAATCTCTCCATACACAGACAAAGTATACTGTTTAACATACTGGAACTGGGAAATATTGACCATTGCCTAGATAAGGGAAAATTATCCCTAAAACATGCTTAACCAGGAGGCCAATTCATCTGCCGACCTCCAAGAACATGGAGATGAACATGATAGACAGACTGTCCCCCATCTGAACCTTCATTCACCACCATTCGATAACCCTTCTTCAGGCCCAGATCAGCAGCACATTTCTTGCCCACAATCATTAAATGTCCAAGAAGACGTTCATCATCATCTTCTGCTACAGAAATCTGAGATATAGGTTTCTTGGGTATCACCAGAAAATGAGTTGGTGCTTGAGGGGAAATGTCATGGAAAGCAAGACACTGGTCATCCTCAAAAATGATTTTGGCTGGGATTTCCTTGCGAATGATCTTCCCGAAGATCGTGTCGCCACCAGGCCGCGCGGCCTGAGCTTTGGCGATCTCGTCTGCCATCTCGGCCTCCCTCCCGCGCGGCCACCCCGGGGAGAAGCTCTGAATGAATTTTTATTTAGAGTTGGTTTAACCTAAGCAAATTCAGATCTAATTGTTCATCAGAAGAATGATGGAAACAGCAATTCACCATTTGGCAAATACCAGAGTAATAATTGCTGCATGCAGCAATCGTTGATGGAAGCTAAAATATAGGGGAAGGTATCATGAGAAAGAGGACAGATACAGAGTCTTCACAACAAGCTTAATGACTGCAGTGGTAAACTAGTGGCTTTATAGTGCAGAAGCCTGGAGAACACTACTATAACCAACAGATCAAATTAGCGTTACTGGTAATAAGGGACGCCTGGTTGGCACAGTCAGTTGAGTAAATGACTCTTGGTTTCGGCACAGGTTGTGATCTCAGGGTCATGAGATCGAGCCCCATGCCAGGCTCCACACTGAGTGCAGGGTGTGCTTGAGACTCTCCCTCTCCCTCTGCTCCTCCCCTCTGTGCTCTCTCTGTCTCAAATAAATAAGTAAATCTTTAAAAAAAATAGCATTAATAAGTATACAAACATCAACCAAATGGGACTAAAAAAAAATAAATAGATGGTAGATCTATCAAGATGGTAGGCTTAAAGCCAACCATATCAATAATTCCATTGAACAATGACTTAAACATTCCAAGTGCAGGTGGCTGAATAATTACCCCAAAAATGTCAAGTCCTAATCCCTGGAATCTTTAACTATTACCTTATATGGTAACAGAGACTTTGCAATATGATTAAAGATGGTGAGATGGTGAGAATATATTGGATCATCTGGTAGGCTATAAATACAATCACAAGGATCCTTGGGTCTGTGATGGGAGAAAAGGGGTAGTGCAGAGAGAGATATGAGATAGATCTACAGAAGAGAAGGCCATTTGAAGACTGAGCAGAGAGAGTTTTAAGATGCTAGCCTTGAAGATGGGAATGATGAAGCCACAAGCCAAGGAATTTGCAGCCATCAGAAGTTGGAAGAGTCATGGAATGGATTCTTCCTTACAGTCTGCAGAGGGAGTGCAGCCCTGCAAATATCTTGCTTTTGAGATTCTGGCCTAGAACTGTGAGAATAAAATCCCACTGTTTTAAGCCATTTTGTGGTAATTTGTTACAGCAGTCATAGGAAACTAACAGACCAAGAAAAAGGCAGAGATTGTCAGATTGGATTTTAAAAAGGCAAGATCCTACGATGTTCTGCCTACAGAAACAAATCTAAACATAAAGACACAAACAGGATAAAAGTACAAGTATGGAAAAGAACATATGTTGCTAAAACTAATCAAAAGATTGTTTCAGGGCGCCTGGGTGGCTCAGTCGGTTAAGCGACTGCCTTCGGCTCAGGTCATGATCCTGGAGTCCCGGGATCGAGTCCCGCATCAGGCTCCCTGCTCAG